GTCACCCTGGGTAGACTGCCATGGCATCATACCTCACAGCAACCTCAAGCAATTCTCTTGCCTCAGCCTCCCAAGTAGCTGGGACTATAGGCGCCTGCCACAATTCCCAGCTATTTTTAGAGATCAGGTCTCACTTTGGCTTAGGCTAGTCTCAAACTCGTGAGCTCAGGCAGTCCACCCGTCTTGGCCTCCCAGAGTGGTAGGATTATAGGTGTGAGCTACTAGGCCCAGCCTGGTTCATTTTTCTTTATAGAGTACTTCCTTGTTTCTTTCAGAAAATCTCCGAGTGACTCTTTAAATGTCTGTAAAAGTCTCTTTTTTTGTTCACCCTTGCTATTGAATGATAGCCTGGCAGGACATAGAATTCTAGGTACATAATTTCTTTTAGTATTTTGCATCTGACGTTTCTGGTGAGAAGTCTCATTACCAGCCTGATACATTTTCCTTTTATATAATTTAAATTTTATAGAAGCGTCTAAGACTTTGTATATTTTATATTCTGAAGTTCATTGCAGTATGTCTAGTGGTTTGTATTGGGAATTTTATCCTTCTTGGACTCAGTAGGGTCAGTAGATTTATGTGCTTTCCAGGTCTGAGAAATTCTTGGGCATTACTACCTTATTTCCATTCTACTTTCTGCTTCCTTTTGTTTCTTTGTCCTGTGAATTACTCACTTCAAACTACCTAGAGGTAGTTAGCATTATTTTCCCCTTATAAAATGTTTTTATAAAGTATTTATGAAATGAGGATAGCTTAATTGTTAATTAACATTATCATGTAAATGTTAATTAGCAAATTTATTAAATATGGGTGATAAGATTATGAGTGATTCTTCTCTGTAATATTTCTAGTTTTGACATTTATACATTTTTCTAGCTAATAATGTATTTTTGTAATGGCTTATGCCATTTTAAAAGATAGAGCTGTTGTTATGACAATGTATTTTCCTTATGTATTTAGTTATTTACACATATATTCTATTTTTTGTTTTTCTTACAGAATTTTTCATGCATCTGTGGACCAAAGATGGAGTTGGTTTTTTTTTTTTTTTAAAAAGTTACTGTCAGTGATCTGATACAAGTATAAATACTCACTTGAAGATGCATGGACTTGTCATTTGGTTGGACTATTGGTTATTTCTGAAAGTTTCTTCAACTACAGTTTCTAGTTTGAAAATTCAAGTATCAAAGGATATTGAGTTTAGAATGGTATAATGATGTATTTTGTCTGAGGACTGCAATTTTCATAAAGACCACAGTTGGTTCCAGTTATATTTCTCAAAGAGATTCATGCCGTTCTGTTCTCTGAAAAACCTAATGTTGAAGAGTCTTATATTTATGAACACCAAAAGATGGGAGAAAAGAATGGTAGGTTGAAGACTACGTTGTTAAACTTGACTTTTCTAAATTAGAAGGAATGAAGAGTTTATTCTCATGTGTCTACAGGTTTTGACTATCTGTATATTTTAATGTACTCTTTTAAAAACAGACTATTTTTTAAGGAAATTTTTAGTGTTACAGAAAAATTGAGAGAATAGCATAGAGTTCAAATATACGTATACCTATGATTGATATATTACATTTGGATGTTAACAGTGAACTAATAGTCACACATTTTTATTAAAGTCTATAGTTTATTCAAATTTACTTAATTTTTGCCTGATGTCCTTTTCCATTCTAAAATCCTATCCAGAATACCCCATTTCATTTACCATGTCTGTCAAGGGCACATGCTATCAACCTGATTACTCACTGTTAATTCTGCTTCATCACCTGGCTAACATAGGTAGTGGTATCAGGTTTCTCCATTATAAAGTCACTGCTTTTTCCCCTATTCCCTATTATACTCTTTGAAAGCAAATCACTTTGTGCAGCCCATATTTGTGAAGTATGGTGTTATACTTCCCTCCTTGAGGGGGAATATCTAAGAGATTATGTGGAATTTTCCTACGAGGGAGAGTTTAGGCTCGGCGCCTGTGGCTCAAGTGGCTAAGGCACCAGCCGCGTACACCTGAGCTGGCAGGTTCCAATCCAGCCCTGGCCCACAAAACAATAATGACAGCTGCAACCAAAAAATAGCTGGGTGTTATGGCAGGCGCTTGTAGTCCCAGCTACTTGGGAGGCT